TGTTGCATTCAAATCATCAAGAGGCAGTTAGAAAAGCCATAGCAATTCAATTATGCAGATGAGATGCAATAGTAACTATAAAAGTTGTACATTTCCTATCTGTGATGAGTCACCTAGTTAGGAATGGAACTTCTTCCCTGATGATTAGCTCTCATTTTGGAATACAGATCTCCATCATACAGCACTTATCTTGAGAACTGATGCGTACAAATGTGCATGAACCATCTCAAAATGGCAACATCCTGGGACACAAAAGGATTTAATATCACAGCAAAGAAACAGTAAAGACAATGGCAACAGGATTTATGCAGCTATATTAACGAAGGAGGAAAGGAAGCTGGTTTATTTATGATCCGTTCACTGCAAGACTTCTCTAATAAATCCTTACAAGGCCATTGAAATACCGAGACTGCAGTAAGACCAAACACCAACTGGTGTTCTTTCAGTTGTCGGTGACAGATGTGAAATGACTAGTTACAGGTAAGTTCACTTCCCACCCTCAGTAACTTCAAAACTACAGGAAAATTTTTACCTTTTTTTTCATGTTTCTTAATTCTTATAAAATATCCAACTATGGGTATGCAAAACAAAATGTCTTCATTTAGGTAAATGGAGTAAAACCTAATCAATACTGAAAACTTTCACTGTGCCTGTCCTACCACCTAATTGATGTAATTGCCACTGTAAACTGCACTAAGAATTCCCCTCTTTAATCGTGGTACAACGATCAAACTGTGGTGTATGTTATCACAAAAACACTCAATGAACAAAGAACCTCTGCATCATTGTACCAGATTCTCCCTATCAGTTAAAATTCAATGAAAACTTTGTTATGGAGAGGTTAACATGTCTGGGAATGACATATCACATAAGAAAATAATCATGGAGTTCCTGGCAAAGAATCTCACTCAAACAGAAGTATTAATTTGAATAGACAACTACATAAAAATATTAACTTACTGCTGGATTTGCAATGAACGTGCCAAGAAATGGGTTATTGTAATACTGTAAATTGTAATGATTTTACATTATTTCATCCAATTGCCAGATTAATATGGACTCAGATGCTTCCAGCTCCACTGCAGGAAGCAGAATGCATTATCTTGTTGGTGGAATGCAACATTCTAAAATCCTCAGAGCCAAACCTCTTTACATCCAAGTTTAAAGTATATAAAATTAGAACATCATAATATCAGAAAAAGTTGAAATGGTGTGTGTAATTTTAATTAAAATAGATTTAAATTTATTAACTCTGTTCACAATTAAAAAAAAAAAAAAATCTAAGACTGAAGTGTTTCAGGGAACTGGGTGTAAACAACTAAAGGATGCAAGCACACTTAATTCCTTCTAGATGTACATTGTTTCATTTTTCCTGGTACATCTGGTTTCTATACAAAAGGCAAGTTTCCCACAAGTTTTTAAAAAGTTTACTTTATTGGTTACAGATATATAAAATGTGTCATGATAGTTCCATCTAGTTGGTCATTAAGTGCTTGCAACACCACAGAGACTCTTAATACATATGCAACTTATAGGATGTATTACATGCTGGAGGAGAAAAATCCCTTTTCAGTTGCTTACCTGCATGTACAGTATCTTCAGCAAGGCTACAGTGTTCAAAAGCAATGACAACCCCACTTTTATGTCAAACTGTAATTTTTAATGTTTGCATTAGAATAGTCTTTATATCACTCTCCAACAGAAGAAACAATATAACTAACAGCAAACTTTAATACAGGAACATGCTCCAAGATTAACAACCCAAAATGAAAACAAAATGAAATTAATGTAAAATGTAAATCACATATAGTACAATTGAAGTGTCCAAAACAATTTAAATAATTTTAAATATTTTATTTTTTTTTAAACTTGCTACAAATGCTTTATACAATATTTCAACATAAAAGTCCCCATAACAGAAATGTAACAAAATGGGAATGATAGTGAAAGTGAAAGTGGCACAAATTCACCAAACAAGTATTAAACTACAAATTTTAAGAGGTAGATTACTTTTTAAGTCAAGAACAAAAAATAAAAGGGGTGGCTGTATAAAGAAACTAAGTCACTTTCCATCAATTCTGTCATTAATCTTGAAAGCTATATGAACACATGACAAATGGTATTTCCATAAAAAGCTGTTACGAACAACAGACCAGTTTGTTTGTCTTAAGTTATTAGATAGAGGTGTACAACCTTTTAGAGTCATTATATATTTAACTTTCAAAATATACAGGTATGTAGTCCTGGTCTAAGCCTTCTTATCGATAAAAAGATACACTGCATTCATTATATATACGGTATTTAGAAATTGATATCAGTATTTCATTGCTATATAAAGTTTTATTTGCACATATAAATAGGAATTTGGAAAATCCATAAAACATCCAAATCAGGCTTTTCCCCATTGTATGCTGGACATCTAAAAGACTCAGAAAGTGAGGATGAGGTGAGAAGAAAAGGAAATTCTGTCGTGCCAGGTTGGCCTCTACTGATTCATTTAGACAAAAGCTTTTAAGAGACTTAATACATGATAAAAATACTTTGAGTGCAGCAACATTTGTTGTCCCTGAATCTACACTGAATTCTTGACAAAATTAAGGAACCTGCTTTGCCAAGTATACAACTGCGTATCATCATTGGCCTGTGTGCCATTGGTGAAGGTACAGACAAAACCAGGATCTGAGCAAACATGAGAGCAAAATATTTGGTTTAGTTAATCCCACTGTTTCTTTTGACAGTTTTGTGTGGGTTTTGTTTTGTTTTTAATAGTACCCTTCTCTTTTTATCTGAATCATCCTGTAGCCCAGCACGTGTGTCAGGCACGAAATAAGAAAATCTATGCCTGACACTGAATATTAGCAAGAAGCCTGCAGGCAATTTTATGATTGTGAGTCAGCTTCAGCTGGTTTCGCAAGCTTGGTGGATTTCACATCCATTGTCGTAGTGCTTATCCTAAGTTGAGCATGCAACAGCTCTACCATGTCATTAAGGGATTTTTTTTGTTTGTTTTGTTTTTACAGGAGATTCCTAGAAAATAAAAAACAAAAACTGAAGATAAATGACAAAACAAACTATTTGTGAACGGAATATGTTTACACAGATAAACTGAAAGGTGAAAAACAAATCTGGAGACAAATATTACAGGAAGTAAGCCTTAAAAAAATATTAAGATTTCCTGGAAAGAGAAGAAAACAAAACAAAACAAAAAAACCCAAACCCACAACAGTGCCTACACAGAGTAGAATCAAAGTTAGACTGTTCTGACTTTAGTGTACGGGCAAAAAAATTCTTCACACTATATACCTGATATAAAAAAAAAAAGTTGACTAGATATTCTACATTTACAAACACTATTTCAGAAACAAAAAGCAAGGATTCTTCTAGCATAACTATTCAACAAACCAGTGAAAGCTGCAAGCTGCCCAAGTAAACTAACAGTATTTGAGAGAGTCAAGGAAATCTTACCCTAGGTAAAGTGTTATTTACCCCAAATACTATTAAACAATTTCCATATGCAAAGATTTCCAAGTACTTGGTTATTTTGCTTAAGGCCAAATGATTAATTTAAATGGAAAGATGTATCATTCTGGTTTAAAATTCTACTAATCTGTTCTGGCATCATGTAAAATACAGTTTCACACATAACACTAAGCAGCTGATGAGAATAAAGTAACATGAAAATGTTTACATCCCAAGAGAACAGGCCTGGCAGACAGTTTGTGTTTCTTAAAGGCATTTTTTACACCATTAGCCTCCAAATTCCAGTAACATTTTTCTCCTTCAACACATCCTATTTTGGGTATTGACTATTTTAAGCCAAATTCCCATTTAACTCTTTGAAATAATTCTGTTATATTGAACCTTTACTTTACAAAGTATTTCCTCAAAATTTTCACCGAGGTGGTCTTCACTGGAAGACACACAAGCTCCAAACAGTTTGTATTTTGACACTTCTCAACAAATTCTGCTAGGGGACACTTGTTCTGAAGGAGGCAGCCAGTTCCTCCTCCAATATCAATTGCTTTGATTAAAAAAAATACCTTCAGCCATAAATCTGGTGTTAATCACAGCCATGCACTGCAATTAGCAAAACCAAAAGAACTCTTAATTACCAGTGAGCTTTGTGAAAGTTACTTGATAAATCAGATCCCTATTTCCAAGAATAAGAGGGCAGGAGCATGCTAATGGCAGCTATAAGGAGTTTGCAAAATATCCTATTGATTTGAGAGACTACATGAAGACGTAAGTCGGGACTCAGGCACATAGATTAAGATTTATTTTATTTATTTATTGAAGTATTACTCTTTCTTGTGATTAAAATGCTTCTTCTCAAAAAGAAATAGAACTTTAATTATAAAATTTGTTTATACTGAAACATAAAAGCATGATACTTCTAACAAATTTACATGTTCATGTAACTTTTCTTACACATCTATTTCCCTTATATTAAGTATTTAATGATCTGACTCAGTTAGTATGCACATACATTTTTGAAGTATTTGGTCATGGCTTTTTTTTTTTTATATGATATGCAGAGAATGTTTTTTATTAAAAACCAACATTGCAAGTTATTTTAGTGAGTAAAAAAACGCAGTCATCATTTTTAGCTTAGCGAACCGCCATAAACTAAATCTAGAATTATTTTGGGCCACCATATATGTTAGATATCAAATACAAGGTCAGTGTCTCCAATAACATTAAGTTTAATGACATTAAGTTTATTTGCACTCAGGTACTGACATTTTTTTTTTTCCAGAGTTCTCAATTCAGTTTATAATTAAAGACATTCTCTATACAATGTATTATTTCATAACAACATGACAAAATGCATCAAGTATGTACATCATACCTCAGCATGACTGAGTTACTTAACCACATTTTAGGAAATGCAACTTTTTTATTTATTTATTTATGAGAAACTCAAAAAAAGACCAAGAAAATTGTCAGAACAGCAAGCAACGTGTTCCTGTGTTGTTTCAACTTCCAAGTTAAATGCTTACCTGAAATCTTTCAGTTCTTGCTTTGTACTGCTTTCATCTCTTTTGTTTTCTGCTGCCTCTGCATTTGCCGCCTGCTGTAGGCTCCGTGTTATAGGTCCTCCAATCCTCTCTCGAGATTTTACAGTGAATCTGTCAGCTTTTTTCTTACTTGCCACAGCAGACTTACTTGGCAAAACAGCTTTATTATTCCTTTGTATTCTGACGTGCAATTTCCGGGATGCTTTGCTCGAGATTCCAGAGGAACTGTTCTTAGCGACCACCTTAGTTTTTTTCCCATCAACGTGGGACATTTTGGACACTCTTACAGGACTAGAGTTCCTCAATGACGAAGATGAATTTGGCTTTTTAGATCGAATGGGAGGTACAAATTTAACGTTTTGTTTTGATTTGAAGGATGCAGAGGGAAGCTGGATTTGTGCAGGTCCTGAGGTTCGTGCTCTTGTCTTGCCCAAGTGAGGCTGCATGCTTTGCATTTTGATTTCTGCGTCTGCTGTTCGCCTACGCTGGCTGTTGCCTTTTTCACTGTTTGCACTTTTTTTTGAAGAATTCTTTTTAGAGGAGGGAGAGATGGGTTTTTTGGGACAGCTATATGATGCGTGTTTATTCAAACTTCCAATGTAAGTAAACTCTCTATTACAGTAGGGGCAGATGTGAGAGTCTGACTGGGATGGATGATTTTTCAATTCTGCCTTCTGCTGGGCAGATTTCTTTTTTTGCAAGATAGCTTTCTGGACAAGTTGGTTTTTCTTTTTCAATGCACTTATTTTTAGTTTATTTGAAGACATTTTGCTAATCTCAACATTGAAATTAAGTCTTTTAGGCTGACCCACTCGTCTGAAGGCATTCTTTCCAGGGCCAGCTATAACCACCATGCCATTCTTAGGCTGCACTGTCTGTTTCAGTGGTACTGGATTTTTTTTAGGCGTGTATCTCTTTTTATCACTGGCAGAGGCACAGGCCAGTATGTGTTTGTGTAACTCAGGCATGTTATCAACACTTTTCCCACATTTTGTGCATCGAATGGCAGTAGTAAAAGTCTGTGGAATATTGTGGGTGGTGAAGTTTGTTGCAGTAACCCCAATACCCATAGGATTACGATGGTGATACTGAAATGGAGGTGGTTTAAAGCTTGGGTAGTGTTGATTGAGGCCCATACGAACATCTGGATCTTTAGATTTTACTCCAGAAGCCATTATTTTTATAGTAGTATAAAGCTCTTCAGAGGAATCATTTAGATCTTCATCTTCCTCCTCTTTAGAAGTTTCCAAAGAATCTTCTGACAGGCTCTGCATGTGCTCCACGTTTGCCTTACTGGGGTCAGTAAAATTCTGGGGTCTCAAAGTTCCACTTTCAAACTCATGATGCGTGCACTCTTTGTCTGGATGCAGATCCCGCTGATGCTGTTGCAAATTGCACAAAAAGGCAAATTCCTTTTTACAGACCGAGCAAACAAAGATATTTCCTACTCCATGAAGCAGAAAGCGATGTTCTGACAAGTCTGTTTTATCCCTAAAAAGCTGTACACAGAATTCACATTTGAAGGGCCATTCTTCAGCATGAATGGATAAATGCTTCGTTAGGTCTTTAATAGAAAGAAAAGGTGATTCACAGACATTGCACACAAAGCTTTTATTGAATGTTTCCTGCACTACTCCGGATTCACTTGAAGTATGAGGATCTTCTCTTGCTTTCTGTTGCTCATTTTCAGCTTCCTCCTGTTTTATTATTGGGAGAGTATTTTCAAGATTATCAGCAGAGGAAACAACAGAAGAAACTACAGAAAGAGGAGGTGGAGATGGAGATGATGAAGATGAAGAGGAGGAGAAAGAGGAGGAAGAGGAGGAGGAGGAAGACGAGGAAGAGAGTGTAGGAGGACCAGGTGAAGCAGCAGAAATAAGAGGTTCAACAGAAGGAACAGGAGATGGAGAAGGAGAAACCGTAGGTGAAAGAACTGGTAGCGGGGACTGGGTAGTAGTGTTAGAAAGTGGCGATGGACAAGAAGAAGTGTTAGTGGCACTGGCAGAGACATCTGGAATTGGTAACGGCATTGTCGGGAGAAGGGGAGGAGGTGACGTAGCAACTGTTAACACAGGTGGGCAGGGCGGTGGGGAAGGAGGATTGGTTGGTGTTAACAAAGGAGGCAGCTGGCACATGGAAGGTACAGCAGATGCCTGTGGCACAGGGGGAACAGAGGAACTAAGGGGCTGAGCGTCAACAGAAGATGATGCAGACAGACTGGGATCCGTGTCGGGTTCTGCCTGAGGCTCCAGGGATTTGCTTGGGCTCGCACTCCTGTTTACACCAAGTGTGCTGTCTGTGGCTGTGTCCGTTCCGTTATACTCATTCAGCAGAACCTTCTGTAACATGCAAGTAGTTGGTTTCTTCTTTTTAACACCACTACAGGTTGCCTGTACAGAATTCTCTTTGTATTCCCTAATTTCAGCATCGCTGCAAGGCTTCTTATGCACACTTAAGTCTAAAACAGATTCCCAGGGAACCTGATTCTTATTTTTGACATCAGACCTTTGTTTCACACCACTAGATAAATCCAGTGGCTGCTGGTTGCACACACTGCCAAAAGAAGGAGCTGCTGTCCAGTCTTTTGATATTTTATAGTCTTCAAAGCAGAGAGGACTCAGAGTCTCTTTTTCCTCCCTTCCAGTCAAGCTCCAAGCAGGTGAGTTGCTGTGGCTTTCTAACTTTGGCATTTTTGAACTCCGAATATTATCATTCCACATAGTTTTTCCCTCACCTGATTTGACAAAGTCTCGAAGTACTGGACTGTGCTGTGGAGAACTGGGAGGAGAGCTGGTCCTTCTTTTAAATCTACTGGATACTGGAGGCAAAATAGGCAATGATGTAACAGAAGGTCCTAGTTTAGGGATTTCACTTGACGGAGTTATCTTCTTACTGTCCTGTGTCTGAAGAAGCTGTTTTAATTTTGATGACAAATAAACACCTTTCTCTTTATGAAAAGGTACGCTTTCTGTTGAAATGCTAAGAGGAAGGTTTAAAGAACTAGTTGGAGTTATGGGTTCTGGGTCTATTTCAGTTTTTATTTTTGGTACAAGAGGAGGGCTGGCAGTTCTCCTCTTTTTGGATTCATTGCTCCCACTGCTAGAGGGTTCCTTGGGAGCTTCATTCACATGTGTTTGTGTAACCTTTAAATTTGAGGAGATTTCCACTGTGACTGGACTGATTATACAATTTAGTCCATACAAGTCTGCAGAGTTGGACTCCATCTGAATCACATCACAATTGCTTGTGCTGCTGTTGGACTGAATTTTACCATCAATATAATAATTTAAATTTTCAGAGATATTGCTGGAAATATCCATAATATAGACATCATCTACTTCACCCTCCTCTTCTATTTCTGTACTTGCTATATATACATTCTGGACCGGTGGGGCCTGCTCTGTCTGAAGCGGTGGCTCTTCAGTAAAGAATCCTTTTCTTCTAACACCTTTGGGAATAAGATGACGCTCATGAACCCTTCGCTGATGCCTCCGCATGTTGGTGTGAGTTCCAAAAACCTTTTTGCAGTATTTGCATGGATGCAATTCTTTGGGCTCCTTATTTTCCTCAGCAAAAGCAGAGTTTGACATTTCTTGGGAAACTTTCTCAGAATCCAAGACAGAGTCTTGCACAAGACCAGAAATGTTCAAGTCATCTTTAAGACCATCGTCCACAATTACCTGGTTATCAGCAACGTTCTCCAAGTGTTGTGATGATGTTAGTGTTAAGAACGGTTTCCTTTTCGGCCCTGCCTCATGGCGTCGCTCATGTCTTCGCCTGTTAATCTGAGTACCAAAAGCTTTCCCACAATATCGACACTTGAAAGCATGGTTAACAGTAGATATATGGATGTGCATGTGGCGTTCAAGTCCTTGCTTTGTTGTAAATTTCCTCTCACAATGCTGACAGGGAAACATGAACGTTTCCTGAACGTCACCATTTGATTCACCTCTCGCTTTTGGAATTTTCACAACAAGCTTTTTCTTTGGAGAGCTTTCTGGAGATTCTTCTGACGTACTCTTTTGCTCTTCCATAGAGTCTAACTTTTCTTCACATATCAAAGGCATTTCAGCATTTTCTTTAGGCATATTGGCATCTTCTATCTCCTCTTCATCTTCCTCCTCTTCATCATCCTCTTCATCATCATCATCTAAATCATCTGATGCACAGTTCATTGCTTCTCCTTGTTTATCTTCAGTTACCATCTGTGGTTCACTGGTAGGACTGGGGATCACCAGCTTTGGAAGTACATCTTGATTTACCATTTCCTGAATCACAGCTGTTTGTTCCAGGGACAGTACAGCAGAAACAGAAGGCGTTTCATCTTCTTCTTTATGACCTGACACACAAAGTATGAAAAGAAAAGCATGAGACATTTTTACCAAACACTTCAAAGCATGCTACATCTTCCTTCTACCTTTTCCTCTAACACAACATATCCAATATTTAGGACCCAACACAATACCACTACTTCTCACTGTTGTGATTCAGTACTGAGGGTAAAACTGTATTCAGAAATTTCCTTTCTGGAACTTCAGCAAAACGTAGGCAACTGCCTGTACTTAACAGAGAATCTTGGGATTGAACATTGTGGCCAAGAAAACCAAAACAGTCTCACAAGTATCAGAACATTTCAAGGTAGACTTCAAAACACTTCAGAAACCTTCCAAAAAACTTTCAGACTTTTCTTACAGCAAGTAAGTGTCAGGAAAGTACTGAAATACATGAAGTATATAGGAAGTCTGTCAAGCAAATTTTGAATTCTGACCATTTTCCCCAAATTATTAACAATAATCTGGATTTGTACTGTAATGCAGAGCAAGGTGTACCTTGTACCTGGCATAGTACTCGTCATTCTTTGTATTAGATTTCCTTTTAGCCATTGCTGGAATGGCTATTTCCTATGCTTTTGAATGAAAGCCTGCATGCATCCCTCTTATTGGTGTGAATGGATTTTTTATTCACACCTCTGCACGCGAGTTTTACCTGTCTGCTGTCACATAAATAAATCCATTGCTGACGAAAGGAACTTTGCTGCCAATTCACACAATGTTGCATAAGTGGTTACACATACAGAGCAAGAAGTTCCTTTCCATTCCCTGGCTGGGATTAAGATGGCTGGAACAGTGGTGCATGTGGTGTGCAAGCAGAAGGGACAACAGAGTGAAGGAATGGAAGAGTTACGGGTGAAAAGAAGTTCAAGCAAAGAAGCTTGAAAGAAATCTGTACCTATACAGAGCTTTAAACATTATCAGTTATGCTCACAGCACTGGCAAGTTTTACATCCTTGTAAAACAGACAAAAATCTACGTGTTTAACATCTCTTTCAGGCATTTTTACCCACATACTCTGTGAAAAAAGGCTGGGTCAATTTATAAACAACATTTGCAGGTATTCTTTAGGACAAACAGCATGTTTAGCTAGTCGGTGCATTAACACTGTAGTTTTTTCCCCTTGACAAAGAGTTCTGTTAAATAGCAATAAATAATGACTGTGTAACTAGGCTCAAAATACATTATTTTAGAATAAGGACTTTTCTCTGATCTGGCATTCTAAGGAGTTTGGATTTATGTCTAAATTTTACAGTACATTAGTTTTTCCTGCATGTTTAATGATGTACTTCTGATATCCAAGTCCCTTACTAATAAAAAAGTTGGGGCAAACAGTATAAGCATGTTCTCTTTGCTATGCTAACATATCAAACATGACAAAAAGTGTCCTTTGATTCAAAAAGATAGTTAGAAGAAGAAAAAAATCAGATACTTGAGAACTCACCCTCTTTAGCATCCCTCATATCTGCAGAAGTAGAATCCAAATCAGCCTTTTTCTGTTTTGTATCAGCTGCCTTCTTCCCCTTGTTTTTACCTTCCTGAGTCTTTTTCTTTCCTGGGGGGAAAAAACCCATCATTTATTATTCCTGTTCAACTATTTTTATTTTTCATCTCTGAGTGGCAGAATTAAAACACCCAGCTTTGGAATACAACACCCTTCTGTAAAAATCCTATTTTCCTGAGGAATACAAATGACAAACCAGTAAAAAAGACAGCATTCAGATAAAGCAATAGTCTCTTGAACCCAGAAGAAATTAAAAGTAAAGATAATGTTTTTCTAAAAACCTGACTCAAAAATACTTTGCTCACTTTCAAAGCAAGAACAGACTATAATCAAAATGTATTAACAAGCTCACATCATATAGTTACCCAGTACTTTCATATGCCTATTAAATTACTATATCTTATATAAGTATATGGAAAATACTAAATTTCTTCATTTACTATTAATCCTTAATGTTAATTGGAAGACCTTATGAAGCAGAAACTCATAGAGGCTTCTCTACTTGTATGAACATTCTGAATAATGACTTGAAGACAATTATAATAAAAGCAGTGAAGTAATAACATTATGATAAGACTAAAAGCAGCATGACCTTGACCAACAAGGCAAAAACAGTAAAACCAAATGAGATGGAACTGGGTAACAGTAAAATATAAAGGTATTTATTTCATCATGACCACTGACACAAACAAGTTCGCGAATGCTGTCTGTTAGCAAAATTAAGAAGCATGTATTAGTTGCACTGGATGATGAACACAGTGAAGATTAAGGCAAAATGGTATTATGCAAAGACCTAATCAGTGACCCAAATGAAAATCTCATTTACCAATGCACTACAAAGTTATACTGCTATTTTTTCTATTAATCTTAAAGATTCGGTCCTATAATATATTGAAATTATGATAAGGACTGTGCAATAACATATGAAACTTGAAGATCTTCCAATTCAATCCATTGCAAAGACCATATTCTCCATACAGAATGGTTATTTCACATATGACACTGTGGTTGAGACACCAGTCTCCTCTGGAACATCACACTTCTACACATCACCTTTTAGGAACAAGAATCATCCAGAACCAGCAATCTAAATCTCTCCTTTGCACCTTCTAACACACAAAATACTACTTTTTAACACACTGACCCTTCCCTCTAATCAGAATTGTGCATCATAGCCCTAAATCCATTTCTTATTTAGAAGCACATTCTTCCAACTCACGATCCTGTCAACAAATTCATCCTTTTTTTCCCCTCAAAAATATTTTTCACATCTTGAGCCAAGAAACTGAAATGTCTTTAAAAAAAAATATTCCTCTATTCAAACCAAAAATTTTACAAGTATGCACCCCCTCCAACAGAACAGCTCAGAGACAGGTCTGTCTGCTTTAAAACGAAATGCTTGTTTTTATTTGAACATTCTAGTCTATCTCAATAATTATCTGTATTTCCTCTCAAGGAGCTCAGATTTCACAGGCTCTCCCCAAACTCCGGTGTGTTTTAGTTTCATGTATGTAATTATCCTTCCCCCCCCCTTATTCTAATTTAACAGTTTTTAGTCTGAGAAACTGACCATAGTCACTCAGAATGAATTTTTATCACCTTTGGAAAGTACACATACACCCTTCCTAAAGTGAATTGGCAATTATCTCATAATATCCTCAAATATTGTAACAATCTCTGTGTCTAAATCTGCCATAATGAACCAGCATTGGTTTATCTGACAACACAATATTAAACTGTATTTTATACCTGCAAGTTGTCACGAGATTCAGTGTATATTTTAGTGTTCACAGAGGCGTAAGGAGTTCAGCACATCCTTACCTGACAGGCTATTGAATGTCCAATTTGAACATAATTTTATATCATCAGCATCTCTAACGGTTGTAATTAAAACTGGTAGTACCCAGATCTGAGTATGAAAGATTTCAAACAAGTTTCCAGCAATATCTAAGACACCTGAAATCCCTCTGGATACGTACAGTACCACAATCAACCAGCAGTACCATTTCTAGGGAAAAGGTCTCCATGTAAAATTTTGATACATTCATAAAGCACCAAACATGCATCACAATACACCTTAGTAACACAATTAAAAAATGTATTTAATTGCTAGAAGGCTTTAAGAGATATTGACTGCTTTGTAGACTGCTTATCAGTTGAAGACTAACATCAGTATCTTGACTTAAATGATAAAATTCTAGATTCAGCTCTCACCTCTACAGGTGAGACTAGGAAAAAGAAGGAGAAGACTGGTCCACAGGCCCCTCTCATTTCCACCAAACTCGGCCACAGTTAGAGACAATATTTCACTAGATGGTGCAGCATATGATGGTATTGCAGATGAAGACACTAGGCAATCCTACACCTAGTTCTACAGCAACACTGAATTTCACAGCATAATGACAGTTTACTGAAAAAGCCTTCAAACCAAGACCAAATTAATTCTTTCTTAAAACAAGAAACAAAATCACTCATAAGTGCTAAAGTGCTCATAGGTTTTCCAAAGTGTTGTCCATTTACAGAATATAAAATTTATAGTACCTTAAATCCAATTATCATCTGGAAAATCACTAGAACAGCAGGATTTGTACACAAAATTGAGTTACTGAAGTCCCATACTTCCTTATGCTCATGACAGAAAAAAGATGCGACCTGCTCACGATGCAACCTGCTCACTGATACAGCTGGAAATGTTTCAAGTTCTTGGCCTTTAAGCATAAACACATTTGAAGAGAAGATTCATCTAGCAGCTACTTGCCCTTACTCAGAATAGCAAGGAAAATTGCCTGCACGCATACATAATTTTAGATGCATCAGATCAATTTCTGACACATTATCAACTAGAGATACCAACTGATTTTTCATGTTTTCTTTTTACCAGCTTTAGTTTGTTCATTTTCTAGGCTGCAGCTTTCTTTGTAAAGCTTAGAAGAATCCAGTACACTCAAGCGTGGCAACGACTGTCCCAGACACACTCATTTCATGGCCCTGAATGTTCAATAGCAGATGCTCAGGAAAAGAATTTAAGAACAGAACAGAGTAATAGTGAAGTGATACTTCTTTGGTATGCTCTCCCAGTTTTCTCCCAGCTTTCACATATCTAGAGTTCAGGAACTTTTGAAGATATTTTAACAGCTTTTGATAGACCTTCCTCCATGAGTTCTCAAATGCTTTTTAAATCCAAGTAAACCTGAAAGATTTGCATCATTTTCCTCTTGCAGATTTTCAATGAAAAACTCAACCTACTATTCTAATTTAAAGGATACCAATGATCAGCCCAAGGTCTGTCCCTTAATTTTCTTACAGTTCAAGAGGTCAAGAACTAACAGAAGCCTGAGGGAGGGGAAAAATGCCTCAGAATACAGAACCTGGTGGAAGCCTGAGTATAAGTACACACGTGCACTTACCATCAGGTTCCTGAAGGGTCCTACATGGCTGCTACTGCCAGCTGGATCCTCCACTTGGTCTAAACAAGAAAGATACAGGAATGAAACACAGGGAAAGTGAAATGGAAACAATGACAAAGGAATAAATGAAGGGCAGAAATTAATATATGTGTATGTGCATTAAAAGAATTGCAAAAGGAAGATGCAAAGGAAAATGAATGAAAGAAACAGATGGAAAGTAACTACTCGTCTATAGTGACAAAGATCAAAAGAGGAATGCATCAATTTGTCTTGCAACTTCATTTTTAAATGTTTCCTTTTCCTCCCCTTTCCTTCACTCACGTTGTAGATAGATCAGCATGAGCATTATCTACCTTTACACCTTTACAATACCTGTATAATGTTTATAATGTTTAGCACAAGCATTGTAACAGGCACAGGAGAGCTCATGCTACTGCCAACATCCATATCATCAGCTGATACTTAGGCTGCAGTCCCACTGATGTCAGAGGAGTTCAGATGACAACAGAGTAAGAATTTAAAAGAGAGAAATAATCTTTATTTGACCATACTTTGTTTTATTGATCAAACCAAGCCATATCAAAACAACCTACAGTTATCTGTGCTGGTGTTTTTGCTGTTAACCAAAATACTAATGGAACTGTAAAAACACCGAGTTACTTCTGGTGGGATGGGATAAGGATACTCAGATGCCAGGAGGGAAGAAGTTAAACAGTCTTTCGATACACTTGGAGCTGAATTCTATAATTAAATATTGCTAAGTAGTACAAGATGCTATTATCTTTAATAACCTTTAAGTGCAGCACCAAACATGCTCACGGTTAAGATCATAAAGTAGGACACTCACATCTGATCTCAAACACTGCTTTGATTACTTAACAGAAATATGAAAGACAGACATTTGCCTCTCCAAAAATCTTAGGTTAATAAGTGAAAAGAATTACTGGTATGAGTCTCCAGTATTCCTTTTAAATTTGTAGTCAAGGACTAACTGCAGCCCAGTAACACCTCTACCCCACACCCCATCTGTGCTGTTGCTTCCAAGTACCACAAATACCTGCCCAAATCTCAAGTTTCCTGGAAAACAGGGGAGAAGCTACCTCAGAGACTCCTTGAGAAGTATTCTCAGAGCCCAGACAAGCGTAGCCACCTCGAAAGGGTACGGCTAGAGGGAGAAGGACAAACTGCACATCATACTCTGACAAATGCTGATCATCACACAGTTTCATGATGTGAATTAAATATAAACTTGCTAGTCAAATCCCTCCGGGACTGGTTCACATTAGTGAAAGCTTGCAACAATTCCATGCAGTAGTTGTCACTATTCTATAAATCAACTTTTGATTTTTTTTTTTTTCTTGTATTGAAAAAAAAATCAGTATTTTGGCACTGGAGAGAATGAAACGAAGATTAAGTGTATATGCAAGCTAAAAAATCCTTACAGAAAATTCAGAAGACAATTGCATGGCCATTTCCACATTATTTTGACCAATGAATTCTAAAATACTGATGTAACTTGATTTTTAATTTGAGAAACAGTTTGCTGTGCACCAGGATTTCTCTGTTCCTGTATCCAGAATACTGGCAGATGTCATGCTTTTCAAAGCAAATTCCTTAAACCTTCAGGCATCTGTGA